GCCGAGCGCTGCGGTCCTGCCTCGCTCTCGGGCAGCTCGCGGGGACAGCACAGTCGCCACCGAGACATCAGGTCCCGTCTAGCGGCCATTTCCTTCTTCTGATTGTGTCCATACGGTCTCGTCTTTGATCCTCCAGGTGATCCCGACTGACAGGATGGCAGAGTCCACCCTTGGTAACAGTACTTTTCCCCCACTGAAAAATCACTTGCTAGTGTCAATATACGGTGTGTAATAATTTTTTGCTCACTAGTAACATGTAGAACACACGAAAGCCTATCTTATTAGGAAAAAACCCCTAAAATTTAGACGTCGTTCCTGTATTACTGGCTCAGAGACAGCATAATATAGCTGCTCTGAGACATATCACGGAATAATCAGACACCCACTCCCGCTCTCAGAGAAGCAGAGCTCATTAACCCAAGAGTGGCGTATTTTCAGTCAATACAGAACACGGTCTAAGTTATATTATCTACTCCATTTGCAGTGACTTGGATAAGATATTCAAAGGTGGAAGAAGCTGGGGTCGATCCACTAAAACTGACAACCATAACACCCCATACCCGTAGAGCTGAGGAGAGGTGAGTTACTCTGCCATCTGCCCGGTGCTCTGCCTTTGCTCAGTAGAAAACCTTCCCGTTTGCCACCGATGCTGGAAAAGCATCCTCCCCCACCCCGCGGTTTCCGGTTGTAAGTCACTGGACCACTCCACACTGACTGTATTGCAGCCGACCATAAGGCAGGAAGCACCTGCAGTGAGCCTGGCCCGAAACATCTCTTCATCTCCCCGCAAATTGCGGGGCAAATGGTAAGAAGAAACAGGTAAATCTGCCTTGGCTACTGCCCCTATTCTGCGGCTCACCGTATCAAACTCGACGGTGATTACAGACAGATAACAATTGTCTATAATGTGTGATTTACCTTTCTTAAGAAGCCACATAAATTTAAGGTTTGTATAGTTCATACACATTTAAATTTAAACAATTAATTCGATAGTTTGAATGACCTAGAAAAATCTTTCCTTTTGCCAGAAATCACGGTGCAAATGCTTGATATTTCTATAAAAGTATTTGCCTAATTGCTCAATCTTCATCTTGGTTGGACAAATTTTAAACTAAATAAAAGTGCAAAAATACTCTATTCGAGTGCTCAGTTTCTGTAATTTTGCATACTTGCTTGTAATTTTTCTCTATGTGTGTATGTCCTGGTAAAGAGGCATATAAAAATACAAGAGACCTAATTCCTCGGTTTAGTATTCAATGATACACGTGCTCTACCACGTCCAAAACCTTATCTTAGAGAGGAAGGGATAATATAAAAGAGAGGGTTTGAAAAAAAAATAGACTAGTGTGGTATGACTTGGGTTTGATTTGCTGTGATTTTCAGGCCCAATTCTCCACCTTCACCAGAAAGAGTGAGGTTAAAAAAAAAAAAAACAAAAACAAAAAAACACACACACACACAAAACAAAAACACAGAAAGAACTGCAGAGAAAAATTATGACTGGAATAAACAACCATCCCCGCCTACCACTCCTGAAGAAAACTTATTCCCAAACACACTTGACATTCTTCCAGCAAGGAGGAACAACCTGTAATTTCTCCTTTCATGTCGAAAATGCACACATCTCAGGAAAAAAACCTTAAATAACAAGCAAACACATGCCCCGACCTCCTAAAAAATCCAAAGTGTTAATTCCCTTTTAGGAATTCTGGTACATAGACGCAGTGGATCTCTTTCTGCAGAGAAAGAATCCATGCTCTTCGTTGAACTGACAAAAAAATTGTTAAAAAGACCTTTGAAAAACCAAGACTGAATAATATATATCTGTCCCATTAATGCTGCCATTTCGGCAGGAGCATTCCCTCAAAACATGGGCCATAACACGGCAGTTCTGGAAACAGAATTAAAATACGGGTTGCATCAGACAAATAATATCAGGGGGGAAAAACAGTCAGCCTCACTTGACCTAGCAGCTTTCTCTCAAAACATGGCACGGTAAACATAAGAGGGTTAGAGCTAGATGTAACTTCTCAATATAGCCAGATGCATGTTCACTTTTGGAATAAATACCGAAATAGCACTGACCGACAGCTACTGTCCAGTTCTCGACAAATGGATCAATCTGGGGAAAATGAAAAAGCCTGTTAAGAAAGGCTCGAGAAACAGTTTATGGTATGACAGACCTGTGGTACATCGGAGCCGGCAGGCACCACTCCCTCGACGGCACTGCTGTTCAGGCTCGGCTTCTCGCAGGAATCGCCGCCCAGAAATTCCTCCGCCGACAGGACGGGCACCGGCGGCGGCGGCGGCGGCCAAGCGGCCTCGGGCACGGCGCGGGCCGGCGCCGCCACGCACAGGTTGTAGGAGTAGGGCAAGGTGCCCTCGCAGAAGTCGGCCGGGAAGGCGGCGCCGGCCACCGAGAAGCGCTGCGCGCCCAGGCAGCGCAGCACGGCGGGCGGCCCGGCCCGGCGCAGCCGCGCCAGCA